CCTGAAACTGGAGTTACAGACAGTTGTTAGCCACCATGTGGGTGCTGGGAATCAAACCCAGGTCCTCTGTAAGAGCAGCCAGTGCTCCTAACCACTGAGCAATCTCTCTATCCCATACCACAGCTCTTATTCAGACCACCTTTACTTCCAGGTCATCTTTTTAAGAAGTTTTTTTTGTTTTTGTTTTTGTTTTATCTTTTTGAGACAGGGTCTCTCTGTAGCTCCAGCTGTCCTGGAACTCACTATGTAGACCAGGCTGGCCTTGAACTCACAGAGATCTGCCTGCCTCTGCCTCCTGAGTGCTGGGATTAAAAGCGTGCACCACCACACCCGGCTAAGAAGTTTTTGAAAACTTATTTATTTTTATTTTATGTCTATGACTGTTCTGCCTGCATGTATGTAAGTGTACCCACATCATACATTACCTGCAGAGGCCAGAAGAGGGCATCAGATTTCCTGGAGCTGAAGTTATAGATGGTTGTTAGCCGTATGGGTATTGGGAACTGAACCCAGGTCCTCTGGAAGAGCAGCCAGTGCTCTTGACTGCTGAGCCATCTCTCCAGCTTCTGCTTTTCTTACTGTCACTGTCTCCAAATTAGTTTTAATCCTTCCAATACTTTCAGCACATGGTAGCCAAAGTGTTCTGTTCAAGTGTGACACTTAAGTACAATACAACTATGCAATTATGTCACTGCTGCTGAAAAGCTTTCACTTTCTCCATAACCCTGGACACTACATAAGTCCAGACTCTGAAATCAAGCTCAGAAGAGCATGCACTGACTTGACCACAGTGCCTAGCTCTCTCCTTGCTGTGCTCAGGCACACTGGAATACCCTTCTCCTCCTTGTGCCCAGTTATGTCTGGTTTTTCAGGATGCCAGCTCTCTGCCTAGGAACTCATGCTCCACACTCTTCTACTGGTGTTCCCATTATTGCTCTGGCCACTCCCATTGAGTCTCTAGACGTCACCTCTCCAGAAGTTCTTAGAAATCTCTATTCCCCTTGAGTCTGAGTCTGGTGTCCTTCATACATTCCAGAAGAATCCTGTACTTTTCCTATCATGACATTTCTCCCCAGAATTTTAGCACTGTCTGCCTACTTATCTCTTCTGCCAACACTGTCTCCATGAAAATAGGAACTCTGCTGTATTCCTAGCACTTAGCAGAGTGCCAAGCATGTACAAGGACCTCTGTAAATATCTGGGAAAGAAAGACGTTGATGTCACATAACCCTCTTTTTCTCAACTGGGGTACACTAGCAGTTATGTGGTAGTGTGGTATGATTATGATAACAATAATAATAATAATAATAATAATAAAAACATCAAATGGGAGCATTAGTTTTATTGATATATTTTAAGGTAAAATCTAATGCTTCCATTGAAACAAAAATGAATATATAATTAACAGTAGTAACATTTTTCTCTTTTTGCATTTTGAGTTTGTTTTGAGACAGGGTCTCATGTAGCTCAGGCTAGCCTGCAACTCACTACATAATTCTTTTGTTGTCACAGATATTTAATAGGAAAAATTCAGAAAACTGACACCATAGTCCAGCTTATAGCTTATCTAAAGGTTCTTTAATTTTGAAATTGCATATATTTTATGAGAATAATTATATATTTGTGAATCATATTTTATATAATAATTATATTTGTGAATCACACAAATCCTTATATGTGAGTATATTCTTATGTAACTGCAGGAACTAGAAAAAATGGAAGAGAACCAAGGAGGTAAAGGGAATGAAGGAACCTGAGAGAAGAATGTAGGAGACAGGTGTTACATGGGAGAAATGTATAAAATGCAGGTATTTAAATGGGAGGGCGAGAGGGAGGCTGTACAAGGAACTATGGGGATAAAGGGGGAAGAAGGAGCTCAAGAGAGGTGGGTCCTAGCAGACAGGAATTATCAAGGGAGAAATGGGGAAAATGGGGGTACTTTAAATGGGGAGGGTTTGGAGGGAGGGTTAGCAAGGGAGAGAGACAGAGGAGAGATAAATAGTACCTAGCTAGTATAAAAAACCAAAGGGAATTGTATTAGTCCAAAAACCTACTGAAAAATTACACACACATATCTCTACATGAATCCATATGTATAGCTACAGGCTCTATAACAAGAAACAGTGCCAGACAGGAGAAACCTGATTCTACTTTTTTTCAAGAGGAATACTTCAGAAAGCAAGAGGCTAGTATAAATTTTCCCTTTAAGTATAACTCTAATTGTAAAACTTAAGATGTTCAAATTTAAAAGAAGCTTAACAAACAATTCTTAATTATGATTCTTCATTACAGTTGAGCAGCTCCTAATTGTTTGTCATCTAAGCTATCTGACACAAATTAGAACTTCGAAAGCAGCTATCCATTTTGGGGGAGAGTTTAAAGAAGCAACTGGGGTTTGCCTAGTTTAAAAGGTTGGAAGTAAGCAATTAAAGGTAGTAATATCCCAGTTGGACTTCACAGCTACTTAATAATACCAGCGTTTGCACTGGTGTGGGAGGGTGTATGACAGCTGGCAGAGCTGCACTGTGTGTCCTTGACTTTACAGTGCACAACTCAAGCTATCTTTTGTGTCAGCAGATGTCATCAATATTAGGGATAAAACATCCACAGGGATCCAGGCCTGGAGGTGAGTCAGAGTGGGAAACCGGCCATGCTCCTCTCTAATTGCACTCACCTACTGCCTGTGGCCAAAGACACAGCGGTCTTCTTGTTGGCACATGCAAGTCCTTGTCTTTATGATCCTTTGCTAGGGTCCTGTACTCTTGGGGAAAAAATAAACTTCTGACCAAAGTTTAATTTTTTAGAGAACAATAATGATAACTATACATTTTACAATGGTCCTATTTTCAAATACTTTTTTTCATTTTTTGGGGGGGGGTCTTTTTGAGACAGGGTCTCCCTGTATCCCCAGCTGTCCTGGAACTCACTATGTAGACCAGGCTGGCCTTGAACTCACAGAGCTCCGCCTGCCTCTGCCTCCCAAGTGCTGGGATTAAAGGTGTGTGCCATCATGCCCGGCTATTTCATTGTTTTATAAACCAGAGGCCTTCAATCTCTGATCTTGTGAATCAACTGTGGCCCTTCCAGGATTCTTGGGGGTGGTGGTGGGGGAACCTTGAAATTTAATAGAAGCAGCAGCTACAGAATGAAGGTGTGAAGTTTGCACTTCCTCATCACAGCATTGTCTTGTTACCGGAGCTTTAAGACTGCTGGTTTCTTTTTGGTGGCCTGTCTCCTCCCACTAGAATGGAAGTTCTCTGGTAGCAGAGACTTGATCTGTCTTCCTCACCTCAGCAGGCCCCTAGCAATCCTTGGCACTCCATGAGCATCCTCAGACAGTGGCTGAACTGATCTACTACAGCAAGCGTAACGATAGACGTATGAGAGGGCTGCCTTGTGGGTGAAGAGGAGCCTGCACAGACATTTTACTTGGGGACAAGCACACCCTTGGAAGTCACTGTGTTAGCTTCATTTATTCACTCAGCAAGTATTTATTGAGAGTTTCCTGGCTTAATATAGCAGTGAACAAACTGCAAGAGATTCCATATTCATTGACCTTATAATCTAAGGGAGTGACAGACCTTAAAAGAGGTCATATAATTCACTAGCTAATTACAAACTGGCAAGTGTGACAAAGGAAAAATGCAGGATAAGACAAGCACTTATAAAAAGGGTACACATGATTGCTGTGTAACAGCGAATATACTAAATATCTACCTAACTAAGCAGTATAAGATGGTGATTTTCACATGAAAATTTTATCTCAATAAAGCTATTATTAGAAAGAACATTACAGTGGCTCGCCAGGCATGGTGGCACATGTCTTTAATCCTAGCACTTAGGAGGCAGAGGCAGGTGGTTCTCTGTGAGTTCAAGGCCAGCCTGGTCTACAAAGTGAAGTAGTCCAGGTCAGCTGGGGCTACTGGGAGACCCTGTCTCAAAAAGACAAAAAAAAAAAAAAGAAAGAAAGAAAGAATGAACGAACGAACAAACATTATGGTGGCTAAGAGCACATCTTTAAAGCCTTGCATTTCTGGGTTCATGATACTGACACAGACACAAGTTGTGTTCCCTTGGACAACTCATCTAATACCTTGTACCTTGGTCACTTCCCAAATAAACTGAAGATAATGGTAACACTTCCTTCTAGGATTGTCCTAAACATTAAACAGGTTGGTATTTCCAAAGTGCTGATAAACTGGTACCCAGAAGAGATGAGCTACTGTCACTTGGGGGAGTCAACATGTATGGAATGTTCCTATCCCTCCCACAAATATTTGTTAGATCTGAAGCCCTGATGTGATGCTCTTGGGAGGTGAGGCCTTTGTGGGGTGATTAGGCCATAATGGTGGAACGCTCAGGAATGGGGTTCTTGCCAAACCAGGAAATGGGCTCCCATCGCATACCAGATTTGCCTACATCTGGATCTTGGCCTTGTAGGATCCAGAACAGTGAGCAATAAATTTCGGTCGTCTCGGCCTGTGATGTGCTGATAAAGAGGCCTGAGTAGACAAGGAGCAAACTGGGATCAAACTGAAAACACCTTGTAGAGGTCAAGTCAGAGGTCCCCATGAGCTCTATTTTTAGCCTCAGAAACTTTCCTTCCTGAGCTCTGCTTTTAAATAAAGTAAACCTAGTATATTTTGATTTACTTTACTTTTGGATGAAATGCCTGTGCTATGTAAATATCTGAAAAAAAAAAACCAGCATAAATTGTAGGAACAGACCAAATATTCCTTATATTACCTACTTTAGGATGCAATGTAAATATCCTTCCTTTACTCTTTTACAAACATGAATAACTTTGTGGGGATCTAATTCATACACCATGAAGTTCACTTTCTGAACTACATAGTCCAGTGGTGCTTAGTACATTTGCAGAGTGGTACCTCAAATGTACCTGTGTCATTCTGGGGCATTTTCATTATCTCGTACCCTGGTCTCCCTTCCTCCAGGCTCCTGGCAATCGCCAGTCTACTTTCTGTCTCTGTAGCTCCTACCTTTGCTCTTGTAAGGCTCTGGGAGAATGAGCTGTGCTGCTTTTGGGGTCGCCAGAGTTTACCCTCAGACTCCAGAGGGAAAGTAAATGATTTCTGATCGATTACAGTTGGAAGCAACCTAAAGAAAGAGAAGTAGGATGCAACATCTCATCTGTTATTTTGAAAATTTCTCAAATTGTAGTTTTAAAACAATGTTCCCTACTTTAAATATTCTAAAGAAATATTCTACTGGTGATAACAATAAATTAGAGCAATCCTCAACACTTTTGCCACTATAAAGCTATAGTTGTTTTATCAAGCATAAGAATTTTCAAGTCCGATACAGACTGTTATAACATGAATAGAAAGTTCCAGGTCAGGCTCAGTTTGCATGACTAACAAATGACAGAATTATTATACCACAAAACATTTCTTGGTAGAGAAAACTACAGAATGCTAACTATATTCAAGATGGTGATTCCTAAGCAGTTGATATTTATATTCTCTAAATATCTTCAATTTTAATAGTTGCAAAGATTTAAATATCAGAGCTGAAAAGTGAAAGTTTTCCTTACTAAGCAGTGTGTAAGATTTCCCTTACTAAGCAGTGGATGGTCCACGAAAGTACAATGGAAAAACAAAGTCAAATTGTAAGAAGGGGTATATGTGCATCGGTGTGAATCTTTAAAAGTGAAATTTAAAAGCAGGTTTGATTTCCATAACATGACCAACATAGTCAAGATGAATGAAATACAACCATCCAAATAACTGAATCCTTTGCCTTTATTGTGATGACGACTGCTGTAAAATTATCATTAAAGAACAACTCGTGAACCTTTGGGTTTTCTTCAACATGTAAAGAACCTGAATGTTGTCGCTCTCATCCTTACAATAAGAAAAAATAAACCAAAGTATTACTTCTTAGGTCCATCAGACCTTGCTGCTCTGAAAACCAGCAAGAGGGTAGGATTCAGAGGCAGCCCATTGTGGACGAGCTCACATTAAAAGCCCACACTTTGGTGAGCTTTCCTTTCAGGGCCCACACTATGTTCTTGCTATGATAACCAGTAAAAGGCCTGTCTGCTGTCAACTGGAGGAGGGAGACACAACTATTCTGAAATACTCCCAGAGTTTAGATCTTTGTCCATATGTATTGAAAGCCAGTTCTGTTTCTAAAAATTTCTAAGTTTTTATTGTTTTTGAAGACTAAAACATGCTAAGTTTATTAGTACTTACAAAAAGTACAATGTACAGAAATATTCAAATAATGAAAAATATAATTTAAGATTCAGATTTCCCAGTAAGTTAACAGCCCCTCCTGGAATTGCATGTGGACACAGCACATAGGACTTATTTTGCATTGAAAATGTGTTAGACCTTCAGAAAGCATTCAAAAGACTTATACCATGTATAATGTGTGTATATATATATACATATGAGCTCATTAATATACTTTTTATTACCCTTTCCTGTTCTCCTTTCTAATGTTATACTGTTATACTATACCCCTCTACACACATTTGTTTTTATATATACATGTACAGCTTATAAGCTAGGACCTACATATGAGGGAAGAATAGATGAGTGTGTTTTCTTGTAATCTAAGAAAGAATCAAAACAAAATACTATAACCAAAACAGTGTAAGAAATGAAGAATGCTTTTGATAGGCTTATCAATACAAAAGAAGGTTAATGAACTTGAAGAAATATTTGTGCAAATTCACTAAACTGAAATGCAGGGGAGGGGGAAGGATGAACAGAACAGAATATTCAAGAACTGTGAGACAATTAAAAGAGGTTAATATCCACATAATGAAAATTCTAGAAAAAGGAGGACAAAGGAACAGAAAAATAGAGTAATAATGACAGAGAATTTTCCAAAATTAATGACAGATACAAAACTATAGATCCAAGTATCTCAGAGAACACCAGCCTGGATAAATACTAAAAAATTATACCAAGACATATCCACTTTAAACCATGTAAAAACAAGACACAGCGAGAAATCCTGCAAGAGATCCAAGAGCAAGAGCAACTTTCCAGAGTGGAGGAGATAAGAACCAAAAACAGGACTTCTTTTCACAGATCATGCAAACAAGAAAAAGTAAATTGAAATCTTCAATATGGAAAGAAAACACAAACCTGACCTTCCATATCTAGCAGAACTATGCCCTAAAAGTGAAGGGGAAATAAAGATATGCTTTGTTGTCTTGAAGAAAATGTTTAAAGGTCTTTGGAAAGAAGGAAAGTGGTACGTCAGATATGGGCTGCAAGAAACAAAAAGAAAACTCAGGACCACTCTGCCCTGTTTCCTACATCCCACAGCCCCAGGCTGGTTTGGGGCTTCTTTCTACCTGTTGGAGTCTTCTTCAGTTTGTGTTATATAGAATGCCCACAGTTTTGGGTTGGACTTACTGGGAAGTACAGGAGAAAGACCATCTACACCATCTCCCCAGACGTCAGTCTCGATGGATTCCTTATCTCTTTGCTTCCACGGATTATGTATTTAGAAGAGACTTTAGATGCTAAGAATTAAATTGAGGGACTGGAGAGATGGCTTAGCGGTTAGGAACACTGGAACCTGGGTCTGGCTCTGAGCACCCACATTTTGGCTAGCAGCCATCCCTAACTCCAGTTCCAAGGGATCTGATGCCCTCTTCTGGCCTCTGCGGGCATTGCATACACAGGTGTACACACATGCAGACCACTCATACACATAAACATAAGTGAATAATAAATAAATAATAAGAATTGAATTGAGATTTGCACAATTCTTATCATTGCTCAGCCCTTTCAGTAAGATCAAACATGGAGATACAATTCTCTATCTGTTTATACTATGATACATTTTCCATGTCATTAAACTCTTTAAAAATCTTTGTGTTTGTATTTGTGTATAATGTGTGTACGAGTGTGTGTGGCACATGAGGCCTGGTCAGAGGACAGCCTTGGGTGTCAGTCCTAGCCTTCCACCTTGTTTGAGGCAAGGTCTCTTGTTCACTGCTGTGAATTCCAGGATAGCTGACCCATGTGCACTGAGGGGTTCTCCTGTCTCCACCGCCTATTTCACCATAGGAGTGTGGGGATTACAGACAAGCACTATAGTGCTCACCTTGACCTGGGTTCTAGGGATCCAAGCTCAGGACTCATGCTTGCACATCGAGTGCTTTACTCACTGGTCCATTTCCCCAGCCCCACCATAAATGGCTCCTAGTACATATATAGCTGTATGAAAATGGATTTTATCATTGTTACTATTGACATTTAAAGTATTCCAAATTTATTGCTATTTCATACATTGTTAAAATGAACATGTCTACACTGAGATTTGTGTACATCTCTCTTTATTCCTAGACTAATTTCTAGAGATACAATTACTACATTTTTAAAAATTTAAATATTCTGACATATGTTGAAAAATTGCCATTTAGAACATACATTGTAGTAAGTGTTTTACTGCTTTGCCACTGGTATTAGGGTGTACCCGTCTTTCTATGTCCTCATCAGAACCAAGTGTTAGGGTGGTTTAATGATCTACTTTTCTTATTTGTAAAGGAAAAGTGATTTTATATTGTTGAACTTTGATTTTTCTTGTTTGACAATAAGATTAAATCTTTCTGTTTCATTTGTGTTTCATCAGTCATTTTAGACATTTCCCAGCTACTTACTAGGTATGTACATTTTTATTTCTGTGAGGAAAATAGAAATGCCCTTTTGTCTATGTAAAGTTTTTTGTTTATTTTTGTTTTCTAGAAGTTCTTTATATTTAAGAATATAGTGTTGTAGTGATTTGAATGAAAATATCCCCCATAGGCTCCAAGTATTTGGACATTTTTGCTCCCAGTTTGGGAGGTCTTAGCTGTGGCTATGCTGGAAGAAGCACATCACTGGGAGCGGGCTTAGGGAGTTCTTAAGCCTTGCCAGATGTCCTGTTGCTCTCTGCTTCCTGTGTCTTCTTGAATATGTGAGAGCTTCGCTTCTGCTGCTCCTCCTGCCATGGACTCTTGCCCCTTTGGAACCATAACTTAAACTCTTCCTTTTATAAGTTCCCTTGCTCATGGTGTTTCTATCACAGCAACAGAAAAGTAACTAATACATGTGTTAATAATTGTTGTGTCATCTGTTGCAAATGATATTTTTTAATTTTATGATAGTGTCAAAAATTTTTTGTTTGAAAGATTTTAAACCCACAGAAAAAAGTGGCAAAGAATGAGCATCCAAGTGCCCCTTATGCAGCAAAACAAGTGTCAGCATCATGTTACCCTTTCTCTCTCTCTTCCTGTGTGTGTGTGTGTGTGTGTGTGTGTGTGTGCGTGCGTGAGAGAGAGAGACAGAGAGACAGAGAGACAGAGACAGAGAGAGTCACACACAGAGAAAGAGACAAAGACCAGGATCAGAATGTAGCCATATGCTGCGTTACTGAGCTTCGTGTACTGCACAAGAACAACTCAGAACAGGTTGGATCCAATGTGCTCTGATGGAGTGACAACAAACCTTCTAACTTGTACTCAGCATTGAACAGAAACTCTTCTTTCCCCTTCACTGTTCTCTGCTGTTCATTTCCTTTCTTGTTTACTTTCCCCCTCAAATATCATCACAATCCAGTATAAAGTGAAGATTCCTGACCATGCTGGTCCAGATGGCAGTCACTCCCCTAGAGTCAACAAGCAGAGTGTGGTCATCAGGAACAGTATGAGCAGGTATCATAAGCAGGAAAATCTGTAATGCCAGCAATGACGAGAGAAAGACTGCACTTTACACAGAAGAATTATTGCAAAGTCAGACCCATTGGGAAAGCAGTACAAAAAGCTTTAACTGCTTTTTAAACTGAGAAATGGCTAATTTTGATAATGTTCTTGCTGTTTTCAGAATGACTGGTGGGAAAGTTTTGCACATACCCAGGATCCTTGTGTACCCTGACTTTTTGCACTACTAGACTCTTTTCCCCTTGAATACTAGTTGCTTAAAACAAAAGCCATCACTTATGAACAGCAAGCTACAAGGTAAGAGGAGGGTACCAGATGGTGTTTGATCTGGACTTGAGTATGGGCCTCATGACTGACCCTCATGATTGGCCCTCATGATTGGTTTACCTAAATCTCAGTTTCCTCATTGGGGAATCTCATAGGTCTGAAGAAAGGAGAAATAGCAATCAATTTTATATGTGTCAAGAAAGTCCTTGGGGCTGGGGAGATGGCTAAGTGGGTAAAAGCACCTGCTGTGCAATCCTGAGGACAAGTTTGAATCCCCAGTGCCCAAATAAAAAGCTAGGTGTGATTGCATGCCTATAACCCCAGCGCTGTGGAGGGTAGAGACAGAAGATGGCTGGGGCTTGCTGGCTGTCTACCTAGCTCCAGGTTCATAGGGAAACTCTGACTCAAGGAAATAAGACAGGGCACCCAAAGTTCTCCAATGACTTGCGCGCACGCAAATCACAGAATACACACACACACACACACACACACACACACACACACACACATACACGCGTGAAGAAAGCATTAAAGAAGGTCCTCTGGCAAGTGTTATGAAAATACTGGTGGTGATGGAGATGATGTCAACGACCATGGTGGCTTGCCATTGCTGTACACCTGTTCGAAATCATTTTCGCAGTGTTCCTTGAGATAGAGGTCATTCAGAATAATGTTTGCATGTTCCTGGTGTCTATAGACAGAGGAAAGCCTCTGGCAATGCTGATTCTTAGGTACTCACAGGAACTGTGCTCTGCTGCCAAAGGAGCAGCAGAATCCTACAGTACTTACTGGATGCCTTCCCATTCCAAGAGACTCACTGCCCCAAGGACATTTGATCTGGTCTCCTGGTTTGAGAAACACTGGAGATTCCTGCCAGCATGAACCCAGGTCCCAGTGCTGGTTTAGCCCCACTGCAAGTGTGCTTACTTTAACCTTTCATAGCAACAGGGGGACAAAAATTTCAGGACCAGGCTCCTGATCATAAGAGTCTGACCCTCTGTAGCTAAATGAATATTATTTACAGGTATGCTCACCCTAGAATTTCGTTTAAGAACTTAAAGATGTTGAAAACATTGCAGACACCATTCTAGTGTCTGTCATTAGCATGACAACATATTCCGGATTCAGTATCAGGAGATTGGGTTTCTTGGAATTCCTGCAGACTTCTTGGCCTTGCAATCTTCTGTAACTGACTCAATCTCATTTCTTCATCTATGAAATAAGGACATAGCACCTATTCCAGTGTGATTCTAGGGGTTATTTCAGATAATGAACATAAATGTGCTTAGCTAAGCTGGGCATGCGAAGTGTACATTTGTTTACCTGACTGCCGGCCCCATTGTTCCCCAGGCCTTTCCGTTTGGCTCTATCTACCTACTGGCCCCAGCTCCACATTTCAATGTCCTGGGACTTAAAATTCAGGAAGAGAAGTGTCTCCTACTTCAGCTTATCCAAACCCTGTTTCATCTGCATTAAGACATTTCAAGTTAAAAACGGAACCTGGATTTCTTTCCCAAAAGATTTCCCTTGGCTGATATTTTAGATCCACACAACTCCTCTGCCGTCTCAGAGCCCCAGGTCCCAAAGCTTTGGATCCCTTTTGAGTCTCACTCATCTCACACCTCCCTCCAAACTTGAGCGCACTGAGATTCTTCCCAGATGTTCCAAATGCAACTTTTCCTTTTACTCTCCTTGCAAACATCTGTGTCTAGATCTGTATAGCTCAGATGACACTGGGTTGTAAGGACAAGTTCTACGGCTAATTAGCACAGCCCCAGTACCTAACACCATGCTTAGCAAATAACAGGTGTTCAACACATGCTTGTTGAACAAATGCTGTATTAGCCATTTAGTTCATGTGTGGGTGACTGTTGGTAATCTACCTACTGATTATCGCTAGACTACATTCTTTCCTATCCATTCTCTATGGCATTTCCACATTAATCTTCAGAAAATGTCATTTTCTTCTTGTCACAAACTGACACAAAAGAGATTAATTTATACTTTACTCTTGCCCAATCTGACCCCCACGCTGCATACTCATTTTTTGCCCCTTCTCCGTGTCTCTCCTCCAAGCTGAGTGGTCTTCCCTGTTGGACAGACCATCCATGCTCACTCTCCATGTAGTCTTCATTCAGGTTATTTTATTCTCCTCAGGAAGTGTTCCCTTTTCCTTTCTGCATCCCCGAGTCCATGAACCACTTTACCCCTCAACTCTTTCTAGCCCAGAGTAGCCCACAGTAACCTCTCCATGTTCTAGCCTCCTATCATACTGTGTCACCTTTTAATCACAGGCACAGTGATTGAATTACTGTACACAGTAATTCAGCTTAGTTCTTCTCTGTGTCTAGAGAGAAAGTCATGACCTTCTTTTAAATCCCACAGAGTACCAGTCACAGGGCTATCACAGAGCACAAATTTGTTTAAGCTGTCCTGATCTAAACTAAATGTGGTCTAGTAAGATGGTTTTATTTGGGATGAAAGGTGAGGATAAGGAGGAAGGAAGGAGAAAGAGTTTTTGACTCACAAAATACCTAAAGGTGAGTGGAGAGTTGGGAAGTCAGTGTGTTGCTACAGTAAAGAAGTACAGTGAAGTCAGGTGTGGGTAGCCATAATTCCAACTCTGGGGAGGCTGTGGCAGAAGGATCACTTTGTATTTGAGGCCACCTTGATGGTAACATAATATTCCTGTACTACGGTGTCCACCATTTGGCCATCTGCAGCCTTACTGTTCCGGAGGCTTCCAGCTGGAATGGTTTTTCTCCTATTCCCCAGGATGACAACTTCACATGCTTGCATACCAACAACTGGCCAGTAGACAACCAGGAGCCACATAAGCGAGCCTGGAAGCAGACCTTTGACCATCCTTACTGCACCTGCCTTCCCCATCCCATGTCAAGTTTTTTTAAAAAAATATTTTTATTCTATTTTATGTGTACGAGTATTGTATGGATGTAAGTGCACCTGCGTCATGCAATACCTGAGGAGGTCAAAAGAGGGCATCAGAACCCCCAGGAACTAGAGTTACAGATGGTTGTTAGAAGCCATGTATGTGGGTACTGGGAACTGAACCCCAGTCCTCTGCAAGAGCAGCCAGTATTCTTAACCGCATAGCCATCTCTCTAGCCCCAACCATATCAAGTCTTAAAAGGGATTGCTCCAGTGAACACTTGGGATTGTAAGTGACCCCAAGCCAGAGGCTCTTTGCAAGGCTGTGCACAGGTCTGACAACAAACTACAAGATAATAAATGTTGGTGTTCTAAGACACTAAATTTTGGATAATCTGTTACAAAGCAGTAATAACTAATATGTAGATGATACTCCATCTAGGAAGTGGGAGTGAAACTGTGATGAACACAAAGTGGTCTGATAGGACAGATGTAGGCAAGGAAGCTAGAGACAGAAGGAGAACAAGAAAGAGTCACTTTTACCAAAGAATAGTGGATACCTGTGAAACTGCCTTCATGGGGGCAGGGAAGGCAGGGGCAATGCCCCCAAAGCCAAAAGCTCTTTTCCCCTCCACTAAGTGCTGGGACTTAGCTCTGTCTACAGATCTCTATGGTTCCCTGGGCACTGTCTCTAAACACTGAATTTCCTGCTTGCTATTAGTCACATATGCCAGGTCCATATAAAAATAAAAGTAAGAGCCATGAGGTCTTCAAACTCATTACCAAGCTTAACTCATATTCCCTCATTCAGAAGACCCAGGGTGATGTAAGGCCATTTCTGTTCTAATTTTAATAAACAATCTCTTAGGATATATTACATAATGGATATTTCGATCAAACTTTATTTTTACTATGGATACCAAAATTACTTTTAAGATTTTGTTTTTGTTTGTGTGTTTATATGTGTGTGTGTGTGTGTGTGTGTGTGTGTGTGCGTGCGCACGCCACATGTGTGTGGGTGCTGTAAGAGATCAGAAGAGGGCATCAGATCTCCTGCAGCTGGAGTTACAAGTGGTTCTGAGGGGCCCAATGTGGGTGCTGGGAATTGAACTCAGGTCCTTTGGAAGAGCAGTAAGTGTTCTTAATTGCTGAATCATTTCCTAAGACCCCCAAATTGCTTTTTGTAAATTTGTAAATTTTTATTTCTTTTTATGTCTGTGTTTTGCCTACATGTATGTAAGTGTACCCATGCATGCAATGCCAACAGAAACCAGAAGAGGGAATCAGATCCCCTGGAACTGGACTTACAGATGGTTGTTAGCCACCATGTGGTTGCTGGGAACAGAACCTGGGTCTTCTGCAAGAGCAGCCAGTGCTCTTAACCCCTGAACCATCTCTCCAGCATCCCTCAAATTACTTTCAAAATAGATTAATATGACATGCCAAAAATTGTAAACAAAGTACCACATGACCTAAATGGTATATAAGCAACCAATTTGCATTAAAATATTTCCTTTAGGAGTTGGATTTTAACTATCTTCCACACTAAAAAACAATAAAGCCAAAAAGCAACACTTATCTGGGACCTGAAATAATTGTTATGGTTACCATTAAAACTCAGTAAGATTAACCTACAGCAAACTTCACTGAATCCCAAGTTCTGCCATTATTTTTGATTGAAGTTGGTAGGATAGATGTGAACACAGAAAGCCAAGAAAATTTGGCTTTATAAGCATTTCTCTTAAGAGATAAAGTTTTGTTTTGTTTTATTTACTTTGAGCTCTAAACATGGCTATTTTACTTACCATTTGAAAGTCAAAGGAGAATCTAAGTTCTCATCCACAGGAGCCATTAACACTCGGTGGTTTACAACATCTAAATACTTCTCAATGTGAATCTGTCACAGAAAAGGCAAAGCTCAGGCCATTATGGTGGACTTAGGATCCTCAGTTAATTTACTTCATGTCATTAGGTTAACACTTTGAGTCGTGTGATTAAGCAAAAAAAAAAAAAAAAATCACAACAAACTATGTGTTATTACATGCCTAAGGTATCATTAAGCATCTGAAGGCCAAATTACTTCAACTGTTCTAAAAAGCATAATAAGCCATTAAGACTCAAAGCTTGAGTGACTTGCAGTCCTCATCACAAAGGAAACCATGCATGATAGACAGTAAATGGCTCAGCTAGGTAGATCGACTGGGTAATCTCAACATGGAATAATGTCTTTCTCTTACAGGGGTTTCAAGAGTCTGAGGAAAGTCCTGGCCTTTAGGTAACAGCTTATTTAAAATGGACAGCCCAGAGATTCCACCTGGGTCAGACCTCTCCCCGTCATGTAATGTAGGACAATGTGTACCAGTTTGATGAAGCTGCTAAACACAACATGCTTCTCACAGCCTGTGGAGCCAAGGGTGTAGCAGAGTGAAAATCTGCTGGAAAAGCAGAGGCCTAGAAGACAAACCTCATTTGGACCTCATTTGGAAGATGGACCCCATTTGCTAATACATGCTAATTTCATAAATGAACATTATCCTGGTCTGAAGATTGCATTCTCCTCTGCCCTTAGGTCTGTTTAGAGTAATGAATTATCTCACTAGTTTCTTTGTCCTCAAATTAGTAATTACATAGACCCTGTGAGAAGTACCAGTCCTTTCTTTGGGAGAACTGTCTCTTTCCAGTGCTTTATTATCTAAAGCTCTACTTACTTTTAACCCCATTTCAGTCCTTTGGATTGCAGTTTCAAGATCCTGAATATCTAGAGGTTCTCTCTTCTCATCAGTTGAGAATTTTGTTAATTTCTCCTTTAATTGATGAAGATCTTCATGGACCTGTATGGACAAAAATCATAAAATATTGAAGAACACACACATTGTCTACCTATTGTAGTTTCTATTTGATTGTAGACAGGGTCTCGTATAGCTTAGGGTGGCTTTGCATTCACTATGTAGCTATGGATGGTCTTGAACTTCCTGATCCTGCAGCCTCTACCTCCTGGGCACTGGAATTACAGGTATGTACCACCATGCTTGTTTTTATGCAAGGCTAGATAGAGAATCCAGGGCTAGGCAAGCACTCTACCAACTGAGTCACACCCCAGTCATGCAATTATTGATAGCCCAGACCTACATGAATTATTAAAGGCATATGTTTTTAAGGTATTCATTAAAAAGGACTGCTTTGGCAGGTCTTTTAATCCCAGCACTCAGGAGGCAGAGACAGGTGGATTGAGGCCACCCTAGTCTACATAGTGAGTTCCAGGCCAGTTGGGGCTACAGAGAGACCCTGTCTCAAAAAACAAAAACAAAAAAATAAAATAAAATAAAACAAAAGGACTGCCTCTGTGGTTGTAGGAGAGTCTTCATTTAGAAGCCTCTAGTATTGTCTCCAATTCTAAAGAGCAAGGCTTTTGTACCATTTCTGTTTTGTAGTTGGATACAAGATGAAACTGCAGCTTGGATGGCTCCTGCTCTCTCTGGTGGCAAAGCAGATGAGCCAGAGATGGTTAAGTCTGTGCCAGACTCTAATTTCTGCAGATTGGTTAAAGTAAGAAACAAGTTCCAGCAAAGAAAGGACGGCATGGAGGCAGTACTGTTCAATGGTGCTGTAAATGTGATGGCAGGGCCTGGTGGCCTTTCATCCTGGCTGGCTGGCTGGCACACACCACTCTTGAGGAGCTCTGTGGGTGTGGCTTTGATTTTGTTTTGTGTACTGAGAAATGGAAATAATCCATGAAGAAAAAGCAGCATGTGTTATTGTTTTAACATTCTCCTTCAATATACACTCTCCTGGAAAACGGTGAACGCTTCTGTCAGGCACCCTCAGGATCAAATGGGCACTGTGACACACAAGGAAGCGCCTGACTCTCTGCAGTCATATTAGAAACCAAACTTCAGATAAATGCAGATGGCACCAATTATTGCATGGGCTTCTGCCACAAGAAAAACATTTTGTTATGCAAATTCATGAACCTAACACCTGTTTCAGCAAGTCACACCAACAACAATCTGCACACTAAGTTGCTAAAGGCATTTTGAAATGGTTACTTTTTCTCGGTTAGGATAACTGGACTCGTACACTGGTCCAGCCTATGTTATTGCTTACTTGGGGTTGTTCCCATGGAACCCAGTGGCTTATTCAAGAGACAGAATTTGCATCTTTTCACTGATGGGCATCAAAGTCTGGCAGACACATCTGGTCATCTGTACTCTGCTCAAATTGTCATGTAGAACCTTCAGGGCGTACAGATTGATACCTGAACACACTCACTGCTTGCCTGTGGTGACCAAAGATGAAGAGGCACTTTTTTTTATTCTTCTGTCCAAATTTCTGCCATGAGCTGATTTACTTTCAACTGTTTTCAAACATTTGGAAAGTGCAGAGGGGCAGTTCAAGGCAGAGTCCATTGGGGGCCCTTGTGTTTTGGTTTCTCCTCTGGTATGTATAGATCTGTGGACCACTCTGTAATTATGTCTATCAACTGCTTGAGGGAGTGAAACTGAATTGGATTATTTGCTAATATACCAAGGTTTTTGTTTTCCCCCATCTGCCTTGCGGACACTTGTGTGCAGAGTTGTGAGGTAATCTGTACCAGGCCCATTACATTAGAAGAACTCAACAAAAGTCAGCTGGACAGTCAGTCTCCCATCCTAACTCTCACTAATTATGCAATTTCCACATATATCATCCACAATTTTAGAACCTCCCCTAGTTTCTTTGCCAAGAATAGAAGAATAATCACCCTACTCTGAAATTATTAAATGAAAATAAGGTAACATGCATAAAAGTCAATGTAGGGGCTGGAGGGCTGGCCCTGTGGTTCAGAGCTGGCTGCTCTTGCAGAGGACCCAGGTTCAGTTAGCATCCACATGGTGGCTATAACTACAGTTCCAGGGTATCTGATGACCTCTTCTGGCCTCCTTGAGCACTGCATGACCTGGGTGCACTTACATACATGCAGACAAAACACTCATACACATAAAAAAATCAAAATAATAAAATATTTTTTTCTTGAGAAAAAATATGGGACACTTCATGAATTTGCACATCGCCCTTGCACAGGGGCCTTGCTAATCTTCTCTGTATTGTTCCAGTTTTAGTGTATGTGCTACCAAAGTGAGCACAATAAAATGAAAATTTATTTATTATTTTTATTTTTTATGTGTATAAGTGTATTGCCTGCATGTATGTAAATGCACCTGTGTTGTGCAATGCCCATGAAGGTCAGAAGAAGGTGTCAGATACCCTGAAACTGGAGTTACAGGAAGTTGTTAGCCACCATGATGTGAGTGCTGGGAATCAAACCCAGGTTCTCTGCAAGAGCAGCCAGTGCTCTTATCTGCTGAGCCACCTCTTGAACTCCACAATAAAATATTTTTTAAAATCAACCAATATAGACTTTGTTGGCAGATGTATGCCAACTGGAGCCCTGCTTGAACTCGGAAAAGTTACTCAGCCTCTTAGAGGGTTAGTATTCTCACCTGGAAAATGGGGATTAATGCTACCTACTTCAGAATAGTGATGAGAATAAAATGCTCTGAAAAGTGCTTCCTATAGGGTTAGCCAGAGAGGGGGGCGCCAAACCTCTATTAGTTCTGTTCCCCCGAATTGAAAACCCTGGCAAAAATCACTGCACACTGAATCTTTCTCAAGAGCTTTTCACTTTTCTTACTGGGCTATTTTTCCCTCCCCTCTTACTAACCACCTGTTTTATAATTGCAATATAGACAAATGCTGTAGGAAATATGACACCAGGCTTGATAAAGAGATTAAATCCTAAATTTCTATTCTTTCTTCATTTAGGTCCAATCTACCATATTGAAACTTTTACATGTCACCTATCGTCTCTGTGATCATTGAACACATTGCTTTTCTACAAGTTCCTCCTTAGAGAAAGATTGTTATTTTGACACTCTAGGGACAAAGATGTTAATGGAAGCCCTTGAAAGATTTAATGTAGCAAAGATTTGCTATAGAATTTTAAAAACCAACAGAAACAGACTCAACAGAGCTAACAGCAACATAAAATTCTATTTTATCTATCTCTGCTCAGGACCGAGTTTGACTGACCCACTCGCATCACTTCGTGTTCCCTTTGACCTCATTCATTTTTACTGTGTGCTCCTTGCAAAGCATACACAGGGTATGATGAGAAGGCCAGCAAAAAGTCAAGTAACACAGTTAGCTCCAACATTTCCAAGTTTGCTGTTAACACATAACAGCTATACTCTTAAAATATAATTTTGTTTTTTTTTAACATTTTATTTATTATTTTATTTCATGCGTATGAGTGTATTGCCTGCATATGTGTGAGTGCACCCGTGTTGTGCAATGCCATGGAGGTCAGAAGGGGGCTTCATATTCCCCTAGAACTGGAGTTAAGGATGGTTTGTAGCCACCATGTGGGTGCTGGGAATCGAACCCGGGTCCTCTGCAAGAGCAGTTATTTTAATTTTATGTGTATGCGTGTATTGCCTGCATGTAGGTAAGTGCACCCATGTCGTCCAATGCCCACAAAGAACAGAAGAGACTGTCAGATTCCCTGGAACTGGAGTTATGGACAATTGTTAGCTGCCATGTGGGTGCTGGGATTTGAACTCGGGTCTTCTGCAAGAATAGTCAGTGTTCTTAACCCCTGAGCCATCTCTCCAGCCCCAAAATATAATTTCTGAAAGTAACTAAAAAGGTGCTTTTCATTGGAAAGACCAGGTAACCCTTATTGCATGGACATATATTAAGACATATAAAAAATGACACTGCATTATGTTTAGTGAAGCATAAAACCAAGTTTAATCATAAAAGATAATTTCACAAAATTTCAGGGTCAACAGATAGTGGTTGTTGTCACTTTGGTCAAGTCACTTTACCTGTTCTGTACTTTATTCTATAAACTAGGGCCTAATACTTACCTAACAAAGTTGTTAGGATGAAGTGAGATAGCCCAACCCTCTCAGTAGTATCTGGCTCTCCAGAAGGTTGGCAATCTTATGACTGCCATTGCAATGGTAAAACTTCACTGTTTTGGCTAATTGAGGGAAGATTCAGCTAAAATCATAAAAATATCTGGAATTACAGACCCGAAAGTGAAAGAAGTGACACAGCTGATAGAATATTGCCCAATGGGATTCTGTATAGAGAAGGTGCCCTGATTTCCAGAACAAAAAAATGAAAACAGAGACTTGATATATGATCTGACAATGGGACAGAGCATCAACAACTGGAACTACTCTGGAAAATGCAGACATTTAGTTTCCATAGCAAGTCACATGGAGAGTTTATGAGCACACTGATATTATTTACATTAAGTATTTTTCTCTTTAGTATTTTAGATATGTTCTCAAAATACTACTTTTATGATTAGTCTTTTCCATCTATAGAAAAGTGTTTCTATGCTAGCTTAGATATTAGTCTATCTCCATTTTTTTAGTTTTGAAAAATTGAACTATACAAATTTACAAGTAAATGTTGTTTCCAACATAGATCATTAACAGTTGTTTGTGCATTTTACATGGGACACAAATGCATAAACTTAGAATCACAAACTTGAAGATGTTAATAGAAGACTGCCTGTCAGATCTCTGTGAAGAATAAAGGACTCTGCCATTATTCCATATTGTCCAACTCTTGCATACAATAGACTGATTTATAACTCCTACTACACCCATGAATTATAGATGAATTTTCTTACTCTTTTAAATGCTATAGTAAGCTCTGACATGCTAAATCAGCCTATGCTTTTGCTAGAGTCTGATGTTAAGCCAGCAAAGAGAATATTTTCTTCAACCCTTTATTCCTTATGGCACATGACTATGGTGGTTTGAATGAAAAATGT